TTGACCAATTTGAAGTCATATTACGACCCACCGACTCAGCGTCCTCCCTTTGGGCTCTCCGATCACTTTTCTGTCGACGTGCAGCCAAAACAGCGACCCAAATCATCTCAAGTTAAATACACTGTTCTGTCGAGGGACCTGAGACCCTGTACTCGTCTGGCAATGCGGACTTATCTCGAACAAGTGAATGTTGCCGATATTCTCAACACTGGAAGCTCCTGCGAGGAAAAAAGCTCTTTGCTTCAAACGATCATCAGAACCGGACTGGACGCCATCTCACCCGTGCGATCAAAAATCGTGCACAMTACAGAACCGCAGTGGATCAATCCCTCTTTAAAAAGACTGATTGCTAAGCGTCAATCAGCTTTTAACAAAGGAAACCTAGAGGAGTTTCGTCAGCTGAGGAACAGAGTAAACCGCGAACGTAAGATCTGTCGTGCAAAGTACTACGATCACAAAGTAAGGACTTACTCTTAAGGACTGCTCCCAGTCCAACTGGTGGAAAGAGGTAAAGAAACTGAGTGGCACAACAGGTAAAGAAGACCGCAACATTCTGAAGTCATTACATCATCTCGGTGTTAGTGAAATGTCAGCTACTGATTGCGACAACTTTATCAACACAAGGTTTTTACTCCGATGGAAAATTTCCAACCACTTACATCTAATCCTCTACAACAAGAAATCATTGCAGGGAACTTCACTGACGAAATCATATGGATGAACGAAATGACAACTTTTAAGAAACTCGCGACGTTAAATCCAACCAAAGCGCAGGGTCCCGATGCAATCCCAGGATGGATATTGAAAGAGAATGCCGACCTTTTGGCTGGTCCCATATGTGATATTCTGTACCTCTCCTACAGTGAAGGGAATAATTGAAATGTTTGGAACTTACCAAGTGAGTATCATAAACACAACGCTAGATACCAGCATCATACACATCACTCTTGCCAAGGTAAATGTGTCCTCTGGGGATTGTAGTAACGGTTTATCGATGTTGTCAAAGGACACGCCAATCTTCATTCCTTCCAAACGTGAAAATATTCGAGCACCAATGCCAAGAGCGCTGTTGGGAAGCAGGCACATGCCTGCCACCACACTCCTAAAATACAGAGCATAGCTTTAGCCATGGGAATGCCGTTGGCTCTTCCTATGAAAGTGTTGTGTTAAGAGACTTGGAAAAGCCAATTTTGAATAGAGGCGAAAGATCTGGCAACACACTTG